TAACTTCCAGAGATAAAAGGATGTATTCTTTAGTAAAAGCAGCGTGGTTATTTACATAAATAAGTCCCTAAGGTATCCATGAAGTTCAAGTAACAAATGAGAATTTGGAGCCAAAAATATTATATAACATTTCATTGCTTACACAACGTGATATTATCATATCACTTATCATATTTGCTCAGTACACACATGTACACACATAACATCCACAGAACTAATAGAAATCTGAGCACTAGTACACTTTAGGAAAAGCAGTGGCTACCATTATTTCAGTTATTTAATAACAGCCTTCAGGAGACAGAATTCACATACTATAAAATGCAGTTTTTCTTTTAAAGGGAGACTTTTTATTTATTTATCCATTCATTCATTTATGACTATGCCACATGGCTTGTGGGATCTTAGTTCCCCAGCCAGGGATTGAACCTGGGCCCTCGGCAGTGAGAGCGAGGAGTCCTAACTGCTGGACCACTGGGGAATTCCCTAAAGTGCACCTTTTTAAAGGGTACAATTCAGTGGTTTTTAGTATAGTTGCAGAGTTTTGCATACATCCCTACTATTTAATGTCAGAACAGTTTCATCACCTCAGAAAGAAAGCTGGCCCACAGTTAACATCATACTCAATAATGAAAGCTAAAAATTTTCCTCTAAGATCAGGAACGAGACAAAGATACCCACTCTTGCCACTTTTATTCAACATGGTATAGAAGTCCTAGCCAGAACAATTAGGCAAGAAAAAGAAATAAAAGGAATCTAAATTGGAAAGGAAGAAGTAGAACTATCACCATCTGCAAATTACATGATATTATACATAGAAAACTCTAAAGACTTCATCAAAACATGGTTAGAATAAATGAATTAAGTTGCAGTATACAAAATAAATATATAGAAATCTGCTGATTTCTGTACATTAACAACAAACTATCAGAAAGAGAAAATAAGACAACAATCCCATTTACAGTCGCATCAAAAAGAATAAAATACTGAGGAATAAATTTAACCATTGATGAAAAAATTGAAGACACAAATAAAGGTACTCCATGCTCATGAACTAGAAGAATTAATATTGTTAAAATGTCTATATTATCCAAAGCAACCTACAGATTTAATGCAATCCCTATCAAAATTCCAATGGCATTTTTCACAGAAATAGAAACCACATCCTAAAATTCCTATGGCATCACAAAAGATCCCAAGTAGCCAAAGTAACCTTGAGGGAGAAGAACCAAGGTGGAGGCATCACGATGCTCCCTGACTTCAGACTACATTACAAAGCTAAAGTAATCAAAACAGTATGACATTAGCATAAAAAGACACAGAAATCAAAGGAACAGAATAGACAGCCCAGAAATAAACCCACACATATGTGGTTAATTAATTTATGACAGGGAGCTGAGAATATACAATGGGGAAAGGAAAGTCTCTTAAATAAATGGTGTTGGGAAAATTGGACAGATACATGCAAAAGAATGAAACTGTACCACTATTTTACACCATACACAAAAATTAACTCCAAATGAATTAAACACCTGAACATAAGACCTCAAACCATAAAACTCCTAGAAGAAAACGTAGGTGGTAAATTCCTTGACATCAGTCTTGTCCATGGTTTTTTGGATCTGACTGTAAAAGCAAAGGCAACAAAAGCAAAAATAAACAACTTAGACTACATCAAACTAAAAAACTTCTGTACAGCAAATGAGATAATGAGCAAAATGAAATGGCAATCTACTGAACAGGAGAAAATATTTCCAAATCATAAATCTGATAAGGGTTTAGTACCCAAATTATATAATGAAGTCATAAAATTCAACAGCAAAACAATAAATAATCAGATTAAAAAATGGGCAGAGTACTTGAATAAAAATTTTTCCAAAGAAGACATACAGAGGGCCAATAGGCACATGAAAAGATATTCAACATCACTAATCATCAGGGAAATGCAAATAAAAACCACAATGCGATATTACTTCACATCTGTTATAATGGCTATTATCCAAAAGACAAGAAATAACAAGAGCTGGAAGGAACATGGAGAAAAGGGAACTCTTATGCACTGATGGTGAGAATTTAAATTGGTGCAGCCATTATGGAAAACAGTATGGAGGTTCCTCAAAAAATTAAAAATAGAACAATCATATAATCCACCAATTCCACCCTGGGTATTTATCCAATGAAAACAAAAATACTAAGTAGAAAAGATATGTGCACCCCCATGTTCATTGCAGCATCATTTACAACAGACAAGATATGGAAACAACCTAAGTGTCCATCGATGGGTAAATGAAAAAAGAAAATGCACACACACATACACACACCATGGAATACTACCCAGCCATAAAAAATAATGAAAAGGACCTTGAGGGCATTATACCAAGCGAAGTCAGAGAGACAAATACTGTATGATCTCACTTATATGTGGAATCTAAAAACCAAAGCAAGCAAACAAATTTAAAAAACCAAGGTCATAGATACAGAAAACAGATTGGTGGTTGCACGGGTGGGGGAAAAATGGGTGAAATGGGTCAAAAGGTACAAACTACCAGTTATAAAAATAAATAAGTCCTGGGGATATATAATGTAGAGCATGGTGACTATAGTTAGCAATACTGTGTTGCATATCTGAAAATTGCTAGGAGAGGTCTTAACAGTCCTCATCACAAGAAAAAAGAATTTTGTAACGATGTATGGTAATGGATATTAACTAGATTTATTATGGTGGGTGATCATTTTGCAATGTATACAAATGTTGAATCATTATGTTGTAATGTTGTACATCTGAAACTAATACAATGCTATATGTTAATTATATACTTCAATACAAATTTTTTTTAAAAAGAATGCTGGCACCCATTAGCAGTCACTCTCCATGTCCCCTCCCTGCCCCTCAACTACTGATCTACTTTCCGTTCTAGAGATTGCCTATTCTGAACACTTCATACAAATGGAACCATACAATATGTTGTCTTTTGTCTCCGGCTGCTTTCGCGTAGTGCTTTCAAGGTTCATGCGTGTTGATTCTGGAATGTTTTTTAAAAGCAAAGTATTCTATGTTTAATATCTTAGTCCTTATAATAACATTATGTATTAACAATATTATGTATGTTGTATAATACGACTATAAAATATAGTGTAACTCAAACATCAAGCACATCAGTAAAAATTATCTGATCCGAGGGAAAAAATGGCTCATAACATGCACCAATAGTTCATTCCTCTCTCTGTCTGAATAATATTCTATCTTATGGATATACCACATTTTATTTATTCATTCATTCATTAATAGACATCTGGGCTTTTTCCCTACTTCTTGATTATTATAAACATTGATGTTATGAACATGTACGTACGTATATATGTATGTGTTAAGCTTTTTTCAGTTCTCTTGGATATACACCTAGGGGTGAAATTGTGGGGCATACAGTAACTCTGTGTCTAACATTTGAGGAACTGCCAGCATGCTTTCTAAGGCAGCTGCACCATTTTATCTTCCCACCAACAGTGTACAAGGGACCTGATTTCTCCACAATTTGTTAACACTGTTATTGTCTGTCTTTTTGTGAAGTGGTGTCTTACTGTGGTTTTGATTTACCTTTCCCTAATATCTAATAATGTTTAACATCTTTTCATGTGCTTATTGGTCATTTATCTATTTTCTTTGGAGAAATGTCTATTGAAATCCTTTGCCCACTTTTAAACTGGATTATTTTTCTTTTTATTGTTGAGTCATAAGAGTTCTTTATATATTCTGGATACAAGTCCCTCACAGTTGCTTTTTTACATTCTGCTTCCACAAACTGACATTCTCATACTGAAGTTCAATTTGCTACATTCTTTTGCAAAACAAAAGGGCCCACAGATACTACATTTGCTGGAACAAAACCTTGCACATACCACAGTAAAAGACTGTCCATGCGTAAGAGTGGATGCCAGAATCTTAGTTACAATTCCAGAATTTCACATTCAGAATCCTTTGGCATAGCAATTAAATATAGGAAAAGCAAATCAGGTAATAAAGGAAATAATTAAAGAGCATTAGAAATAGCAAAATTTCAAAACCTGATAAAGTTGCTTCATCAACACTACACATTATACTTACTGCAATAAAATAACAGTGATTACCATAATAAAATGATATTTGCAATTGAGCATGATCGTAAAATTGCTATTATAAAGATAATATGTCTTAGGCAAGCACATTAGTCATCTCAAATTATTTACTTCAAAGTAGCCAGAGGTAGAAATACCTACAAACTTTTAGACTACCCCTAGGACGATGCCTTGAGATACCAAGATTATATCAGAGGGGAAGAGATGTCTGAAAACAAACAAGTCAGATTTGTAAAAATTATATATATATACAAACACATATATACACATGCATGTGTGTATTTTATACATAGATATTAAAATCTAAACTCACTTGTGGAAAGAATTACATAATTTTGTAAAGTTAAAAGGTGACTTTTTAAAAACTTAGGTACATTAAAAATAATAATCCTCAAAAGCAAAGAAACCTAGAATTAACAAGGTCAAGAGAGCAGCTTTTATTCAGTAAGTGTCGGTTAATGTCTGTCTCTTCCAAAGCCTGCTGTCTCATGAATGCGTGCCACTGGCCACAAAGAGAACCAGGGCAAAATGTGTGGGAGAGTCAATGCAAATCCGTCATGGCCGGTGGACAAGCAACTCAAAGAACGCCCATTTTGGACCCAGGGTCCGTGACGTCAGAGACACACGTGCAGGACAGTTCTGTCACAGGGCTGCTCAGTGGTGACAGCAGGGCACTGACTATACACATATGTCACATATTAAAATAAGGTAGGGCTTCCCTGGTGGTGCAGTGGTTGAGAGTCCGCCTGCTCATGCAGGGGACAGGGGTTCGTGCCCCGGTTCGGAAAGATCCCACATGCTGCGGAGCGGCTGGGCCCGTGAGCCTGCGCATCCGGAGCCTGTGCTCCGCAACGGGAGAGGCCACAATGGTGAGAGGCCGGCGTACCGAAAAAAAAATAAAATAAAATAAAATACGGTAAAGCAATGAAAAAGGCTTTCTCACATGTATTATACATATATTTTCAGAGAACTTCGAAAAATCCTATTTTACCCCTTAGATATTTTTAAATACTGAGAAAAAATATTTATGAAGTAAAGGCTATAACATCTATCATTTAAAATATAAAAGCACGAATTTTATACTATGTGTCAGATAGGTTGTAAGCATGTGACATACGTTAACTCACTTAACTGTTACAACAGCTCTATGAAGTCGGTGCTATAATTATCCCCATTTTACAGATGCATAAACTATGGCAGAGAGTGGCTTCAGTAGGGCTAGGATTCACACTCGGTCAGTCTGACTCTGGGGTCTGTGCTAAATTTCACTATTACCAAAGTGATTGCTACTGCTTGAAAAAATAAGCACTCAAATAAAACTTAGAAATGAGTTGCTGTTCGACAGTAAATCTCTTTTCTCTCTGTAGTAGTACAGAAAATACCTTTGATTGCTCATCCTAAAATATGAAAAAAAAAGTAACCACGACAGTAGACTGGGAATTAAATTCCTGAGTCCAATTCTCAGTTCTTTGTTTTACTGATGTTCTCACTCACTTTGTGACATAAACTAAGACACGGAAAGTCTATGTTTTCTTAAAACACACTCCCCGGGATGTTTCAGACTGAAAGAGATCACCAAGAAAAAGGCAGAGAGTACAAAATAAACCTGGTTGCTGTGACTATGCTTGGAGAATCAATTACCAAGAGGGTAGTCAAATTCTGTTGGCAGTTTGTTCCCAGTGTACAAAAAGATGCTTTCCAAACCTCAACCGTAAATCCATTATTTAGATTTTAAAACATGGTCTATTTAACCCATGATGTTCTTCAAGAATAGGACTGTATTAATATTACAACAACATTAGATTTAGTGAAGTTTGGCTTTTCTGCATTCAAGCTCCCAATCAGTTATCCAAAGCACATTTCCTCCTTGTGCAGCCCTGGAAGCATGTGAGGGAGGTCTGTGTCTCTCCCTTCCCATGAGCCAGGTACTAGGAACACACCCACCGCAGCCCAGGAAACCGATGGCATCCACACAGCAAGAGCAGCAGCGCCAAGGAAGCGGGACCAGGGAGGGGCGGGGTGCTCTAAGAAGCAAAGCGCTGTGTCCAGTCTCTTAATAGCAACAATCCCTGGCTTTCCTCATTACTTGTCTTTCTCCCTTGGCAGTGGTATCTTCATTTTTCTTCTTGAGAGTCCATCTTCAGATTCCCTAATTTCGTGTCAATTCTGGCATCTGTGCTCCTGAGTCACCCTTACTTTCCATTAGGAAAGTTCCTTTCTAGACCACCTCTCCACTTTTTCTTTTCTCCACTGAAACCTTGTAGGGAAGGAATCAATTATATCAATTATATAATTGATAAGAGTGTTATCTCCGAGGAGTAGAAGTACAAATACATACCTCCCCACCACACAAAAATAAATTCCTCAATTGCCTGTTAATTTCTTCATTAAAACAAAGACAATTCTAGGCATTCTTTCATAAGATCTAGTGTGAGGTTATTCGAGTAGTACTCCTAGAAGCAAAAAAATAAACTCGAGAAAGAGATGCTATTAACAACCATCTGTAGGGAGAAGTGAGGAATTGCTGATTTGGCCCTTCTGTTCCTGCAAAGCACCTGGAACCATTACTGGAGTGAAAGGAGAAGGGGAACTGAGTCTGAAGGGAATGGACTGGGGCAGGTTATGAAGAAAGCAGACACAGGAGGGAAGGAAGATGTCAAAGATGGCACAATCAGGAAAGGAAGCGCTCTCACATCCGCCTGGGCAAGGGTTTATTCATAAACTGTGCACGAGTCCCTAATGAATTTTGAGACCTTTAATCAGTGAAAGCTGGGGTCTGCATGTATCCCACATACCGAACTCTGGAGGAAATCCAAGGAGATTTGCTATTTCTTTAGGAGTGAAAAATCGAAGTTGAAGCATTAACAATCTTGTTATCTTTTCTTCTTGTGACAAATTGGTAAGGGATTTGTAGATATTCTCAATCTGTAGGAAAACATCCAAAATAACTAATAAAGTAGAGTGCAATTAGACTCGTTAAGATAATATCGTCTATTGTGAGACAGTTTAAAAATGATGGACGCATAGTCTTCTGTAACACATGGCAGCACAGGGTAAAAACATCTCTGTGCAATGAACTGTGTAACTGGCTCATCAAGGGCCAGGTAAACTCAGAAAACAAACAAAACCTTAATGCTGAATAGATCAGGATACTCTCAGTGTATCTGTCATTTTTGGTCCCTCAAAAATTAACTCATAAGAATAGAAATAATAAATGACAATATAACATAAAAGAAATGTAGTGAAAGATACAAAAAAGAAACTTGGTCAACCAATAAGTCGATTTTACAAAGCAAATAAGCAGCCATTAAAATGTTTACTGTTTATGACCAATTTTATCAAATTAAGATATTTTCTTAAAATGATAAAATATATTTAATAAATATGACTTCTCAAATCCAGACATTCATTTGTCTCTGATAGGGTTTTTAGCAAGGGTAAATTTTATTAACAGTAAGAGTTTAAATCAGCATAAAAGAAGATAATGTGATTTCACTTCAAAATTATTCAGAAGTATATAAAACTTTCAATGTATCAAGCTTGTATTCAACCATGATACCGTAAAGAATTAGCAATTGAAGTATTAATAAAAAGCCTTCCTAAAATATAGATTTTTTCCCTAACAGGCATGTTTATAGTATGTGCTCCAAAGGAAGGCTCCAATACTAAGATATTTATGCATAATTTTAGAGAACACTAAGTACTGTACTCTGCATTTCAAATTACTCTTTATGAAATAGAAAGAAAAACAAAAGGTAAGAAGAAAAAAAGAAAGTAAAAACATAAAACACTTTTTGTACATATACTCATATCTAGCAACAAGAAGAAGATTTATTCTATAGTAAATAATTATTATATACACATATTCATCCCAGTTGAACATGTAAACTTATTTTAACATTCTCAAATTTTAAGTATTAAAGATAATTTTATTTAAAATAATTTTCAAATACTTTAGTTCTGCAGCATGCATAGTACCTGCACATCCTCTGTAGTCTGCAACACAGATCCTGTCCCTTCTATGTAGCGTCCATAACTAAAAAATTAACACAAATATTTTGTAGCATCTAATATATTTGCTAATGCTAAATTTCTTAAATATTTCTTGAATGAATCAATCTTACACAGTTGTTAATACATCCTTCTGAAATATTCTAAATAATATCACATAAATATGCTTTGTAATTAAAAAACTTACCAGGTGAAAGACATAAGATCAGTCTGTTGAAAATTCTCAGACACTAAACTTGGCATAGTTTTTGTTGTATAAATACTAGTCTGCATATACATTATTGTCATTTTTTAAATGTTCATCACATTTAAATGCACAGAAAGTATGCATTTGTTATGACTTTATATCTAAACGCTATTCAATACTGACATCCCTGCCACATTAGACCAAATGTTATGTAGGTGAAAATAAATTGCTGCTCTTTTCTTATAATGCCTGAACCATCATTTCTTCTCATGAACCCAAAACCGTACTCTCCAGTCTCATGACAAACTCTGGCCCACCAAACGTGCATCTGCCTCTTACTGTAACACTGTATGTTTTTACTCTTTATCACAAAACAATCAGACTATTGTTAAAAATATATTAAAAATACCAAACACTAAAGAAATGCAAGGTATTAGTAATATTTCTTTCCCTAAGATCACTGCCAACCTGGCTGTTTGACATTTTTTCCTAATAGATGAATTTAAAATAGAAATTAGAGAAAGTCACCATCAAAGAAAAGCTGTTTTCTTATATATCACGTGTGTGTGTGTGTGTGCTTATGTTATCTACACTAAAATAGACTTCTACAATAAGGCTTCTTTTATACCATTTTTATAATTATAAAAGAATTTCAAATTTGTTTTTTATTACAAAATTGATAACCCCTGTTTTATGAGAGTCCTAAACAGAACCTAGCAGACTTGGAAATATACAACAGCTGAGTGAAGTCTTTTAAGGTAATGGAAAGCAATAAACCCATTCCCCTGAAAGTACAAGGGCAGGGTATGATAAAGTCAGGGTGAGGCTGGTACGATTACGTCGGGGGCATAGTGTCTTGTGTAAGACAACTAGCTAGTAGGTAAAGAGAGAAGGCTTGAATTTTTTTTTTTTTAAAGAAGATGTTGTGGATAGGAGTTTATTAATTCATTAATTTATTTTTGCTGTGTTGGGTCTTCGTTTCTGTGCAAGGGCTTTCTCTAGTTGTGGCAAGCAGGGGCCACTCTTCATCGCGGTGCGCGGGCCGCTCACTATCACGACCTCTCTTGCTGCGGAGCACAAGCTCCAGACACACAGGCTCAGTAGTTGTGGCTCACGGGCCTAGTCACTCCGCGGCATGTGGGATCCTCCCAGACCAGGGCTCGAACCCGTGTCCCTGCATTAGCAGGCAGATTCTCAACCACTGTGCCACCAGGGAAGCCCGAAGGCTTGAATTTTTAAATCATACAACTACCTATCAAAAGCGCTTCAGTGAAATTAACAAACAGGGGTAGGGATGGACCTTTTACAAATTTTTCTTGAAGGGTCTAATTTCCCCCCTTCTTCCTAGGTTTAAAAAAAAAAGTTGAGGGGCTTCCCTGGTGGCGCAGTGGTTGAGAGTCCGCCTGCCGATGCAGGGGACACGGGTTTGTGCCCCGGTCCGGGAAGATCCCACATGCTGCGGAGCGGCTGGGCCCGTGAGCCATGGCCACTGAGCCTGCGCGTCCGGAGCCTGTGCTCCGCAACGGGAGAGGCCACAGCAGTGAGAGGCCCACGTACTGCAAAAAAAAAAAAAAAAAAAAAGTTGAAAAACACTATTTCTTGAGAAATAATCCAAAGGATGTCCCCTAAATGTCCATCAACAGGTAACCAGTAAAAGAAATTATGATATACCTATACTATGAACATATGAAAGTTCTTTAAGCACCCATAGGTAATAATATCCAAATTATACTGCACAATGAAAAAAAGTGCACATAATAATGAATATAGTATGCTACCATTTACTTAAAGGAGGGGGTAAAAATATAATGTATATTTAAACACACCTCACATGCAATACCTCTGGAAGACTAGAGAGTAACCTGAAATCATTGGTTGCACGTAGGGAGGGAAACTGGATGAACAAGAGGCAGAATTGGAAGGGAGTCTTACAATCTTAGTTCCTTTTGAATTTTGAACTATAAGAATATACTACTAATTCAAAAAACTAAATAAAAGTTAAATATGCTATAATGTGCTCCAGGACATTCAATGTTATTTCTTCATATTAAAATTTAATTTCTTCTTGTACATTGATCATGAAAGTGGACAGAAATTTTTGAGGTACCATAAAAAGAAAGGTGCTAAACAATTAGCAATTCACCATCTATAGAAACCATGTCTCCACTGTGGGTAACTAAGCTCCTACGAAGGTCACCAAACGATGGCAGTGTCTTCTATGAGCACTTTTGTGGGCTGTGCACATCATGTTCTGCCAGAAGGAATTTTCACTTGTGCATTCTACTGGAACACGGAAGCAGGCGATTAAGGGTGAAAAAAATCATTCTAGCAGAAACATTTTATAAAATGCTCCTTGTTTTGAGAAGAACTAAGAGAAACAATAGTTATGAAAACCTGGTTATTCTGGATATGCCACGAACAGAGACTCTTTAAAACCTACCCTTTCGTAAAGCATGTGGACCTTCTGGATGTGGGCTTAACAATGTCTAACAAAAGAGCGTATCGCAGCAATGACTTTGGCGGTAAAAAGTATGAATTTATGTCCACGTCATCTTCAAGAAAATCTCTTAGCATTCGCACAGAGAGATCACTGTCCTGTTGACGTTTCCTGTCAATTTCTCCTGCAGTTTCAAGCTTAAAAAGAAGGGCTTCTTGTCCAGAACATTGTGTGCTGCTGTCAAAGCACATATTTGGCTCGATTTTCTTTTCTTCAGTTTCCTTTTCTTCAGTTTCCTTTTCTGCATCTATCGCATGTTTTTGTGGATGTTCAGATTCAATTTGGGGGAACTCCATCAGTACCTGGCATTAAGTAAAAATACACAAACTCTCAAAAGCTTTCTTAAAAATAAAAGACATATTAATAACATCCATTCAACATTATGTAAAAAAATTCTTTAACTTTTACTGAGTTGTCATTAAAAAGACAGAAATTGAGGTTTACTAGTATTTATACAAGTTATTACAAGTTTTTCATCATATAGTGTTAGGCATCAGGCTATAGATGATTTATTTCATGAAATTACTGCTTTCTGAATTAACAAACCATTCAACAAAGTAATAGGAAGTATGCTGAATACAGAGACAGCATTATATTTGGAAAAGAAGTTGAAAAAGCAACAGGAACATTTCCAGAAAATGTGTTTTTGATCAAAGTTTGCCATTCCCCTTCAATTAAAAAAAAAAAAAAAAACTAGAACATACCCATGATCTAAAGGAAAATTAGTAATTAAAAATGAAAAGCACTCTTCACCCTGAAAGGTTATTTCTATCCCTGAGTCCCACAGGAAAAACTTGTTCCTGCAAAACAGGTAACCATTTATAAAGTCCTATTTTGGGAAAGAAAAAACAGTTCCAGGAATTTTTAATGATGACGTCTTTGTTCACATACTTTATATACCGTTTTTGGAACTGCCCACTATTAAAGGGAGATATATTGCTATTTTATTATATAACACAGTATTGTATAATACTGATATTGTATTACGGGGGATTCAAATGATACTACTGAAGCCCTGTTAGTAGGACATGACTTTTGAGTTCTTACCTGTGAGGGTTATAGAGAGCTTCACTGGACCACTGAAACTCTGTTATCCACACCAATTTTCAGCAGAAGCATATAAAATTGCTAGCATAATGAGAGATCCTATATATAGCAATTGAGCATTTTATTCTAGCTTGTGCTAATCATTACCATTTTTTAATCAATTAAGGCTAAATAGCATAGATTTCAAATAAAATGCAACTGATGTGTGAAAATACTCAAGCCATTTTTAAGATAGTATACATTTTATCAAAAGTAGTCAATGGCTTCTACTGAGGGAGAAAAATAATAGATGCAAAAGAGTCAATGGTCAGAAGAGAAATTATAGGAGGAAAAGAAGGATAACAACACTAATGGTAATTTTTTTTACTTTTAACTTATTTTCTTTTCTAATGATGAAAGAAAAGTTTCTGGTTTTGTTTCAAGCAATTAAAGTGGCATCAGGAGGGTGAAAAGGCCTACAAGACAGACCTCAGGCATAGTCTAAATTACAGGCACAAGAGGACACACATAAACCTCTGTAAACATACTCCAATAAAGATGTTAAAAAAAAAAAAAAACCTCTGCAAAGTAGTTCCTGAAAATAAATTAGCAGACTGAGATATATTTACAACAGATAAATAATGATGATGATGATAACAGCAATAATAATAATAATACCTGACCAGGGGCTTGAAAAGGGAACGGCACTGACTGAAGCTTTGCAATAAGGAAATACCGTAGCCTTGAATTTGGAATGCCAAGCTGCAAGTGAAACAGGGCAGTTAGCTGCTATAGGATATTAAAGAGATCTGTGTCAACTTTTAGCACCTAGTAAAAAAACTGATACAGTTATACATTAGTTTCTGCCAGACAAAATTCTATTATCAATTTGTGGAAGACTTCTCTGTAGCAAGTTCTTAAACCTTTTAAACTGTCACTCTGTACCTTTATTTGAATGAAATAAAGATAGAATCAGATGAATCATATGTCTATGAGTCACCTTCATTTTATATTTCCCAGGTAAAAAGTCAAATAGACATTCTTACATTCATTATGAATAGTATAGTAATCATAAAAAAATAAAATTCACATATAGCTATAAAATTCAGATAGAGAAAGTAATAACCATGTCAGAACTAACTGCAAGATTTACCTATAATATTATCCAAAATGGAGCCATTCTTTTTACTGAATCAAATTCCCTTTGGGAAAATTTGTATAAGAGTTTACAATTGCAGTACTTACAGAGGTTGGAGACAACAGAAATTCTTGGTACTGAAAGCCACAATTTCCTATTGTTTGTATTAACAGGTCTCTGAAAAGGCAAAGGGAAAGAAAAAAGCTTTCACTCTACAGTTCAAAATAGGGTTCTTATATAAAATATTATACCTAAAACTTCATTTTACATGAAAACTGTACCTCCACTTAAGTTGTTTAGAAAAAGGATAATCCTAGGTCTTATTTTAAGTCCAGTACTTGAAAAATTACATTTCTCAAAAAAGAGATAATCCCTATTATAAATAAATAAAGCTACCAGATAATTTATAAAACTGGTGAGTTAGAATCGCCAATCCTCTCATGATAAACTTACTATAGGAATGGAACTATATCTGTAGCCAATCAGACGGGGGAACACTGTCATAGACAGCAGGTCAGTCAAGGACTTGGATGCATTCTCTCCAGCTGGGCTACTGTCTGAAAGGGGCCTGACACAGGGCTTGCTTCTTCAACCCAACTGTAGGACAGAAAACGCCTGTCAATAGGACAAATTCTTACCGAAAACATTCCTACTTCTAAAGAAACAGGCACCAATGTAAGCAGCTAAAATTGAGAAATCATTCCGGAAAAATTCAAACATATCAAAATGGGAAAGAATCAGTTGAACCTAACTTTGTGATACTTCACGTTACTAACTATTCAAAATCAATATTAACGAGTAAACTTCATAACATATATAAAATGTCGGAATATACACATTTATTTTTAAGATCTTCATTTCATAACAGCTCCTATTATAAAATATACCAAGTCTAAGATGAACACAGGACAAATACATTTTTTTACCTTGTAGAAGATACTTCAAAACCTTTAACATTTTCTATAAGAATATACTTTGGTAATTTTTGTAACCTAAAAAAAAACAAAAACAAATGGAATTCTAAACATCTCATTACTAAGAAGTAAGAAGTAAAGAAAATCCTTACTTGTGGGAAATATGAGGTAAGTAATTGTCCAAACTCTTTTTATGAAAGAATTTTATAAGGGATGGAGACAACTCATATTTTATTCCTTTCCCCCATAAACAAGGCACACCTGATAAAGTTAACATTTGAAATGTTAATTTCCATTGAAGTTTAATGAAAACATGGGTTTGCACAGCTCAAAGGGCTGACATTTCCATAGAATGGAGGCTTTTAGGGTTGGCAGCACAAGTTTCCAGGCCATGGGCAACAGCATTCACTAACATTAGCATCATTTGCACAAATACCGAGCAGAGGCAACAGAATTCAGCTATTAGGCTGTAACGCCCTGTCACTCACTTTTAGCGGCAACTGTGGAACCGACAAACATTTGCAGTTACTCTATCAGTCACGACAGAAGATAAATGACTCGCACAGAACCTGTATAAGATGCTAATCTCTATAAAATGACAAACATCACGTTCTTCCAGATGTAAAGTTTTACATTTAAGGTAAGCTTGTACCGGAATTTAAGTTTTTACCTTGGGAGAATGTCTAGAATATACAAGAAGCTATTTGTCCTTGGATCAGTCACATCACCTTGCAGGCCGATTCTAAAGGGTAAGGAGAGTAAATAAGTTCAGCAAGAATCTTACATAAAGGTATCAAATCACTTTTAAAAAGTCAAAACAGAGAACTAAAATTAGTTGGTCCTCACAAAAAATCTGATCATCTCTGTTGCTATAGAGAACAAAAATATATTTTTTCATTTAATTTAAAAAAGCCTTGCCTGTCTAATAAATACACTTATTATCAATACAAGATAATATGTCCAGATGACTTGCATGAGGCAAAGAAGAACAAGAAGTCCACAAAGAATAAAATCAATTATCCTCTTAAAATCACTTTGTTCAGGAAAGACACACACACACACACACACACACACACACACAATTAGCTGATGACACCTTTTGCCCTGCCCCAGGTGAGACAACAGAAGTTCAGATGAATGAGCTGGTTGGGCAGGGTGGCAGTGTAGAGTTGATGGCATTGGTAAGTAATCACCAGCTAAGCAGATGAAGGTAGCAGGTAAAACTAGAACTATCTTGTCCAATGTAAACAGGAGAGACTGAAGCTGAAGGCTTGATTCTACACGAAGGAGTTGCAACTTGGCTAGACTAAGTAAGTCAAAACAGGTCACGTGAACAGGCAGAATTTGGACTAGCAGTTAAATCTTGCAAGTAACATTCGATATGATCAAGAAGCAAGCAGAAAAGACTTATATTGGGCATGAGTCGTAGCAACAGAGGACTAGGGTTTAAGGCCTTGCTACTTACTAGCTTCGTGGTCTAAAATAAGTTACTTGACAGCAGTTATCAGTTTCCTCACACCTGACAGCAGGACCAAAATCATCAGTGGATCTGAGGCTCAGATGGGAGATTAGAGTGGACTTGAATAGATTCCTCAGAAATCTTGGTTTCCTCTCATTTTGTCCCTTTCCTCTCAGAGTTCCAAAGATGATCGTACTACAGGATCAGACACTGCAGCCGTCAGCAGCTGGAGTTGGGCTAATACAGAGTGGGAGCAGCAGTAGGGAAGACACAGGGGCCCCACTGCAGTGATATCTGAGGCATCACAGCACTGGGGCTGCATTCTGTCCTGAACCTCCCACTTACTATGGTTAAAAAGGCCATAATACACTTGCACAGGCTAGGAGCCATCTTTACGTGGAACGTCCTCCTTCACTGATAAATTCCCAACCTGCTTTCAGACACAATACAGATATCACCTCTAAAAGAATTCGTCCCTCCTGGTATATGCAGCAACATAACACCTCTCTCCTCCATGCTCTCATGGCAGTTTCAACATTCATTTATTATATTCCTTAAATCACATTATAAGATAATTATTTGTCAGTCATTCCCCATGGACTATAAGTTCTATAAGGATGGGAACTACAGCATCAAAAGCAATACCTCACGTGTAGGTGCACAATAAATCCCTGGGGAATTAATTTCCTAGAAAACTTGAAATAAATCAAAACTTGGATGGAAATTAAGCATGAGAATATTTATTTAAATTAGAATTTTTACTACATGTTATATCCCATTTAAAATCACATTATGTGTTTAAATAGGACTATATATTAATAGTCCTATATATTAATAGGACTATAAAATAATCAAAAAGTCCTGGCTCTGACATTTTCTAATGGTATGGCCTTGGGAAAGTTACTTAACCTTTCTATGCCTCAGTTGCTCACCTGTAAAATGATGATGATACTAATGCCCATCCCATAAGCTTGTTATATTAAATGACATACTCCAGTAAGACACTCAGAGGGTTACCACTATTATCATTATTACTTAAAATAATTGAAATATTATTATTTAGAGTATCTAAATGAAGAGGGATTAGTCAAGATTTTCTCTAAAATATAATTCCCTGAAATACATAGCCAAATAAACACCATATAATAAAAAGCTGTCTTGGAACACAGCTTTAAAAAGTCATTTTATTAATTGTATGTATTATTAAATGTACCTATCAATTCGAGAAATTTTAAATTCACAAATGCATTCTTTTTTTTTTTATTTTTTACAAATGCATTCTTGACTAGCCTTAAAATTTTACAGGTAAGTAATTTAGGATTTGAATATTAACTATGGAAATTTACTTTGATTAATCAGTGTTCGGAAGATATTCCTGAATGCTCATTAGTTTAAATAATTAAAGGTAATTTGGGTCAGAAATAAATACTGTTTCTTTGGTAGGTATTAAGGAGGTACCATATAGTCTCTGCATACCTACTATTGACCAAATTACTGTGTTCATCTGGCAGTAATTGCTATTTTCTTTATGATTAATGCTGAATTATAAACGTGTGTAGAGAAAAGGAATTACTGATGAAAAGTTTCAAGACTAGGGAAATGCAGCTGATGGACTTCAAAGTGTCTGTGCTTGAAATTACAGTGTGATTTGATTGAACGAGTCCTTCAAAAGTACTCTTCCTAACAGAGAAATATTTATTATACATACCTTGTGAATGGCTGACAGGGAGGGCTCATTAAAATCATATTGAAAGATAATCTGTCAAACTCTTCTAGTGTAATACCCTAAGGAACGAACATGTGGGGGGAAAGAAAAAATATAAAAACATGCGTAGAAGGGGGCAGAGGAAAAATGCTAAGTAATTACCAGTAAATACATCAGAAATTGTGACACTTAACTTCATTTATAACACTTAAAAGTTTATAAAACACCTACTACTTTTTAAATAAACTTTAGTTAAACTAATTTTCCAAAGCAATTTTGTGAAGAAAGTCGAGCAGTAAGCTGAAGCTATAAAATATTAAGTGACTTCCCCCAAACTCGAGAGCCAGCCAAAGCAGAGCTGGAAAGCTAGTTTCCTAGATGCTAAGTATTTTGTGCCTCTATGACACCTCAAGTCCAAGACTGCTGTGATTTCTGGAATCAAACATGGAAAACTTTATTTTATAATTAATGATTTGCAAAGGATCTAGGGAATTTTTTAATACCTCTCTATTAATATTATTTATTTAGAAAACGTGATGTATTGACCAGTCACCATCCCTTTCATGTATGTCTCTGTCAATATATCACCAAATGGAAAAAGGTCCCATTTTCAGATATCCACAATTACTATACTGTTTTACAGTTGTGGGTAGTCAAAGGACCTCAAAAGATTGTAGATAAGATTAATCAAAATAATCCCTATTGGGCTAAATAGTTTTAAAATGTACTGTTTTGCTCCTATTTTATATACACTATCAGAAGACAAACATAGAAAAATACAAGTCATGGGTTTGCCAATTCTCATTAAGCTCTCTTAGTGTACACTCTTACCCAGGAATTTAAAGCCATAAGCCCAGAATCACAACGTTCCTAATTACAACACATTTCTAAGAAGTTTGAGTTCGTGAATAAAGCAGGAAAAGCTTTATTCTGAGTTCTGAAAAGAGTGACTTAACCTGGGGAACACATCAGTTTTCTCTACTGTATTATAAGTTTGAATGTACATGTCTATCGTTTTTAAATCACAGTTTTTTAAGTAGTTTAAGACATATATGTAAAAAGAAATAAAAATTAAATACTGAAAAGTTCCTGAAGCACCTCTGGATCCCAGAGTTCTAAAGAAAACAATCTGAAAATCATACACTCAACAGTCTGTCAGGAACCCTGGGGCAGGGCAGTAAGATTAGCACACATACTCAAGTTACACAGCTGGTCAGCACAGGACTATTAGGAGAAGCAACTTATTTATCTCACAACTGATTGTGAACAGATTAAAGCTGAATTCCTAAAATGAAAATAAAAATCAAACAACAATCTTTTACGTAAGGAGAATCCTTAAGTCTAGAATCTAAAGGAAGTAAACAGAGTTAATGCCTCCAATACTGTTAGACGTAAAAAAATTTACAATTTTAAAGGATTCTAGGAAAGAGTGATTTTTTTTTTTTACAGTACAACCCAAATGACAGAACAGTTATGCAAACATAATCGCTCAATTAAACCATTCACAACTGTCTTTAACCTAGCATTCTAGGTCAATGAATGTGTTGGGATTCAAGAAAGTAGTTACAGAGATGCATGGATTAACGTTAATAATTTGATATTTTAACACTAATGGAAATCAAATTCTGTTTCCATAAACAGGCCATTCAAGCTGATAAAAACATCCTTGCTTTCAGAGAACATTAGATCCACTCGATGTGGTAACACTGTTTATCGCATGTTGATGAGCAACTTTGTCCCCCTACTTGTTTTATTACTTCTTTTCTCAAAAAGCTTCCTGGTTATTCTTATACTTAATTTTCATTTAAACTTTAGGAAGACCTTGGTAGATTAGAAAACAACAACTTTTGACTATTTTAGTGAATTTATTGTTAATCTAAAGAGAAATAAAATTTTGTGGCACAAGGTAAGTCTTCAGTAAAAAGTTAGTGATATTTCCTACCATTTCCTGCCCTATGAACTCTGATGTTATTTTGTTCATGAATACTCATGACAATTAGATCTTTCTTGATCACTGTACGAATCATCATTATAAAGTAATTTTCTATGACTCGTAAATGCTTTTTGTTTTCAGACAGATCTTACCTAATACATATCAGTTCTGAAACCCCTGTTATCCTTTGTTATGATTTGCCTGACATTTTTTCATTTTTTAGGCACAATGTGTTATTCATTAAACAAGGTTCATAATTAATCCACCAATATTTCAGAGCATCTACGACACACCAGGCATTGTGCTAGTCTGGGAATACAACAATGAACAAACCAGACAAGGTTTCTGCTCACATATTTATATTGTAGTGTCTAGTAATTTTCCATTTTCTTCAGAGATAAATTACAGATTTTAGTTTTATTACTATTTATCTTTGTAACTGGTGAATCCTGCTCCTGATTAAAAACCTACATGAGGGACTTCCCTGGCGGTCCAGTGGTTAAGACTTTGCCTTCCAATGTAGGCGATGCGGGTTCAATCCCTGATCAGGGAGCTAAGATCCCATATGCCTTGGGGCCAAAAAACCAAAACAAAACAGAAGAAATATTGTTAACAAATTCAACAAAGACAATTTTCAGGCCTGACTATAGGCAACGAGGAGGGCTTCACCCAGCGGGTGTCAGGGGAAAGCACCCTCCCGGCTCCAGACTTGGTGCAAGGCCAGCACCTTGCAGTCTCCGAGGGCAGGGCGGGTGCGAGCTCTCAGGCCCCCAGCAGCTCATGCTCTTCGTATATTTGCATTCCTAGGTCTCTTTATCTGAGGCCTTGCACAAAGCCCTCTTCAGGCGCCATCTATTTCTGCCAAGGCCTCCGTCTAGCAGGAAGAGGGGAACCCTTGAAGATACTTCTCCCGCTATGACTAACGCTTGGCCCTTATCACTCCCAGCCTTCTCACCACTGCCCGCACTCTCTCCCCCAATGCCAGGGGCTCCTCAACAGTGAGCTGACCCCCACGTCTGTGCTGATCACCCCACCTTCCAGCAGGATGCTGTCCCCTGGGGAAACGGAACAGGGGGCGTTGGCGTTTTCTCTGTTTTTTAGAGACTTGCTTTTCCCACCACAGGAAGTAATTAAGGCTTCACTCTTTTATTTTTGCCCTGTTGCTTTAATCAGCTACTCTGATCCCTGACAGCTCAGCTGAGCTCCTGGCAACAACATTAAATAATGTCCTAAAAATCTATAGCTTCATTTATCTTCAAAGAACAGACATATTTTTTGAGTCTCACTTTTCCTTCCTACTCCAATTATATTATTATTCTTACACTGCAAAGATTTATAACATTCTCACCCTGCTTCCCGACCATTATTTCTTTCCTAACATGGCAGCTTTATTCCTGGGTTCTCCACTTTGATTCATCTCTTGCTTAGTTAGATTAAGTGACTGAGTCATTCTTTCAGTAAGGGTTCATGGGTACTACAGTTCATGAGTTGTTGGAGGTTTTATTTTAGGAATTTTTTTCATCTACTTCTGTTAATATTTTTGTCCTGTTTGTTTTATTTTCTGTTTGCTATTCTGACAGGACTTTCATTTCTATAATGGTTTTATTTTTCTCATCTGTTTTTTTTTTTTCCCAGACCACTGACACTCTTCAAATCTATTGTCTTATTATTGTTTTTTGATCTCATGTATACATTTATTTGAGTTCTTGTTTTAAAGATACTGAGTTTTATTTAAGGTTTCAAGCACATGTTTTTGTAATTTTCTTCTGCTTCTTAATATGATTTTTCTGTGTATATTCTGCTTTTTTGTTTATGTTACTTCCTTTTAAAAGTACTATACTAGGAGAGTCTCAAACTGGCTCCTTTCTAATTATTCATTTTTTAATGGAGATCACTTGAATCTAGAAGTTTGCTAAAAAGGCGAAAGAAAGAGCAGTAGCTCTATTCAGGTATTGGTCACCACACTTTCTGGGAAGAACCCACAAAGGCCTTTAACTTAAGACCGTGCCTCTGTCCCTAACCCATGCTCTCGCATTTAGGATGAGCAGGAAGTCTGCAGAGGTTGTAATGATGCTTTCAGCCCAGTGAGTTGGAATTCTTTACTGTCTCTTCTTGACTTTGAACAAGCAATTGCTGGGTCTGCTTTGCCTGCTCCCTTGTCCTTCTTCCCTTCTCAATTCTGCACAGGACACAGAGAGGTCTGCATGAAATTCTACCACCCTCATTCACTTGTGTCTCATCACCACTGCATTTGACACTACTCTTCCCAGTTTTCTTTTCTGCTTTGGTTTATGGCTAAATCCTATTTTCATTCATAATGGTTTCCCATCCCCTCTTTTCTTTTCTTATTTCTATTAGGAAAAGAAATAGAGTTTTAGAAAAGAAATATCTTTTTTATGCCACAGTCAATCAGAGGTCCCAAAGAAAACTGTTTACAAGTCCAACTTATGCACTAAATAGTAAGTTCCTGAAGGTAAAAACTATCTCTCAGTCATATCTGTGCTCCCTCTAAGGGCTCAATAACTTGCATGAAGTAAATGTTCAAATGATCAGAATATGTTGCTTCATGAAACTTAAAATCCCTGAAGTCTCTCATTACTCCTAAGTTCTCCATTAACCTTCCACCCCCTTTTTAAACATGACCCCCAAGGTAGTTCTGATATATTTGACCTGGACATGGTACACTCTTTCCACATCAGAACAGGGTTGAAGAGAACATCCTAGAAGAGACTAAAAGCCGTGGGAAGGTAGACTGTCTTTTGTCTTATAGACACCATTTTAATGAACTGATTCTCTCCTTTCAAATGACCTGGAGGTACCTCCATTCTTCCCTCTCCCTAGTGTTCTTATATCATATGCAGATAATACAATTTATTACCACCTATTAAAACTGGTACTGAAATAGAATTACCACTAGAAAAATGGACACAGATGTATTATTCTAAATGCCCCCAAATTTCTATTGGCATGTAGCTGGGAATGCCAATCCGTCCCCAAATATGTCAAGTATTTCACAGTTTCTCTTAGAAGGTAAATCAGAAAGGAAGGTTAAGTTGGTGAACATAATGGGTGCTTTACTGCGATTCTGTTGTTTTTTTATACTTTGTTTAGTGGGAGAAAACTCTTGCTGAATTGGACATTTGGCTGCATCAACTTTTAAATATTTACATTAAATTTAAATTTAGATTAATTTTTTCTAATAAAATAACTTTTGCTATCATACTGTATGTCAGAGAAATTCTGGAACCTAAATGCATATCATCTGCCTATTAGAGTCAAGTCAAAGTTACTTTCTTGTAGGTATCTTTCTTCTGACCCCGAATTTATTTTTGCCCTACGTCCATGATGAGACAGGTAGACTGACTGTACGTTGCCATGAAGTTTATGAAATGCATTGCTACCAGTGACTGGAAAGATGATGATGTCCCCATAGTCCTCCTCTCTATGATGCCCAGGGGGAAAGATATTCTGTTCTCAATACGAGGGATAGACGTTCTTCAACACGTAAGTAGATTATTTCTACCTTTTGGATACCCAATCATAGAGCTAGGAAATGTTCCCATTTCATACTGGCTGAAAGAAAACTTAAAACAAATCTGTTGGGTAAACAAAATGTGATATACCTATATAATGGAATATTACTCAGCCAGTAAAAGAAATGAAGCACTGATTCATGCTAGAACATGGATGTATGGAAACATTATGCTAATTGTAAGAATCCAGACCAAAAAAAGCCACATATCATATGATCCCATTTATATGAAATGTCTAGAATAGTCAAATCCATAGAGACAGAAAGTAGATTAGTGGTTGCCAGGGGTTGGGGGGAAGGAGAAATGGAGAGTGACTGCTAATGGCTACAGGATTACCTTTTGGGGGATGAAGACATTCTAGAATTAGAAAGTGGTAATGGTTACACAACTTTGTAAGTAAATGAAAAAAACAAGAAAACACTGAATTGTAGACTTTAAAACAGTGAACTTCACGGGACGTGAATTGTATCTCACTGAAAAAAGCATTTGTGAGACTTTTGCTTCTGCCTGTGAGTTGTGTAAATAAACTAGAAAATTGGGAGAAATGTAATAACTGTTTTCAGATATTGGAATTGGACCACAGACAGAGCAGGACTGCCATTCCTTAGAAAAGGAAAAAAAAAAAACTTGAAGATAATTCAACTTTCTGCCTAGAGATAATTTCCATACGGCAGTGAAGGGAAAGGAAATCCAAACTGTACCTGGTAATGTAGATGAGTTGAAGACAGAGGTTGGAGCTCAAGATCAAAGTGACTAGAATTTGCAGAGCAGAGTGCCAGACAAAAAGAAGCTGCACAGGGAAAGAGATGCAGAAATCTGCATAACATTCCCCTTGAGTGTCTTGCTGAGTATCAACCTGTGCATGCATCAGGCAAAACGCCTTGAGGGAGGGCAAAGAAAAACTGCTGGAAAAGGAACAATTACTGGGAAGTTGCAAGCCAAAAAATTCCCAGATCTCTGGGCTAGCAATCATTTGAGTTAACATCCAGAGTAGCAAGACCTAGTTGAGTACATGGGGCATTTAATAGCAATCTAAGAAAGGTCATATATTAACAGTAAGATTAGACTAGCCTTACAGTAAAAGCTACTCCAGATCCAGTTTGAAATGCTTAACAATAAGCCTCAAAAGAATCAAGATGGTCTGAAATTAACTGCCTCTGAGGACAATATCCAACAGTCCTTAAAAGATTACAGTAAACTCCAACACTCAAAAATGTAAAACCTACAATGTTAGGCTCCTCATAAAAAATTACTACAATGCTAAGAAACATGATAATGTCTTATAGCAATTAAATAAATTAAATTCATAATTAAGAACCTTCCCACAAAGAAAACTCCAGGCCCAGGTGGCTCCACTGATGAAATTCTATCATTTATAGAAGAACTGATACTTGTTCTTCACAAACTCTTACAGAAAATATAAGGCTATGTATAAATATAAAAACCATACAAATATGTTATGAGGAAACTACAAAAGTCACCTACAAAGATAAATGCAAAAATAATTAACAATATTTTAACAAGTGGGATGTAGCATAACATAAAACTGATGGTATATCATGACAAGTAGGATTTATCCCAGGAATGCAATACTGACTTAACATTCAAAAAAGGAATTGATATGATCACCATATTATCAGAATACAAGGGAAATGATATAATCATGTCAAAAGATGCAAAAAAAAAAAAGCATTTGACAAAACTCAAAACCTGTTCATAATACAAATTCTCAGAAAACGAAATAAAAGGAAATTTCCTCAACTTGATACAAGGCATCTATGAAAAATATACGACTAACATCTACAAAATGATAAATGACTGAATGTTCTCCCCTAAGATCTGGAAGAAGGCAAGGATGTCCACTGTCACACGTTTTATTCAACATTATAAAGAACGTCCTAGACAATGCAATAAGGCAAGAAAAAAAGTCACACTGGTTGGAAGGGAAAAGTAAAACTCTTTTTTTCTCAGGGAATATAACTGTACATGTTAAAAAATCAATATTAAAGTTACCAGAACTAATAAGTAAATACAGCAAAGTCACAGGATACTAGGTTAATAAATAAAAATAAGTGTAAGACTAGTATAATAAATATTACAAAATATAGCTGATACAAATTATAGAAGACCTAAATAAGTGAAGAGTGATACCATGTTCATGGATTGGAAGATTCTCTTTTATGAAGATATCAGTTCTTCCAAAACCAATCAGTGAAACTACAATCAAAATATCTTTTTTTTTTGGTAGAAATTGGCAAGCCGATTCTGAAATTTACACAGAAATGTAAATGAGAGTGTAGCCAAAATAATCTTGAAAAAGAAAATCAGAAGTTTGAGAACTTACGTTGCCTGAATTCAATACATATTATAAAGCTATAATAACCAGTTTTATATACACTTAGGAAAAAAAATGACCTCTACCTCAGACTACACACAAAAAGTAACTTTAACTGCGTCATAAGCCTAAATGTAAAAGCTCAAACTATAAAACTTCTAGAAGAAAACAGGAAAAAAATGGGGTAAACAAAGATTTCTTAGGACACACAAAAAAGTGTCCCATAAAAAAAAAAAAATAAGTAACTTCTGCACTTTGATGAACACAGTTAAGGAAATGAAAAGACAAGTTACAGATTTGGAGAAAATATTTGTCATACATATTTCTGACAAACAACTTCAATCCAGAAAACTTAAACAACTCTTAAAACTAAATGATAATAGCACAAACATACCAAATAAAAACTGGGAAAGAAATTTCATCACGAAAAACATAGAATGGATAATAAGCACATGAAAAAAATACTCAACATTATTAGTCACCAGGGAAATGCAAATTAAAATCACAATACCACTGTATGCTTGCAAGAGCAGCTAATATTTAAAATACTGACAACAGCAATTGTTGGTAGGGATGTGAAACAACTGAAACACTTAAACATTGATTGTGTGACTGTAAAATGGTATGAACATTATGGAAAACAGTTGGCATTTTCTCATAAAGTTAAAGAAATTTGCCATATGATATGGCAATTCTACTCCCAGGTATATATCCACAAGAAGTAAAAACAAAGTCCACACAAAAACTTGTACATGAATATTCATAGCAACTTTTTTATAACAGTCAAAAACTGGAAACAATCTAAATGTCAAACATTGTGTGAATGGATATACATTTTGTAGTATGAAATATTCCACTGTACAGAATATCACTGAACAATAATGAAGAGCCAACTACTGATAGATAACAACAATGTGGGTAAATGCAAAAAAACATTACACTAAACAAGAGAAGTCATACTCAAAAAAATTACACTCAAGATTCTATTTAGGATATGACTAGAACTGGAAAATTTAATCTGTAATGACTGAAAGCAGATCAACGGTTGCCTGGGGTTGGGGTCAGAGACTGAGTAAAACGAGGCATTAAGGAACATTTTAGGGTGTTCCTTAATGGATGGATGTTTTAAGTCTCGATTGCGGTTACACAGTATATATTGGTCAAAACTCAAACTACACATTTACAATGAGGGCAGTTTATTGTATGTAAATTATGGCTTCATGAGAAATTTGTGTGTCAAATTTTTTACGACGTGAAATTGGGAGAAAAACATAATTTCATATTATTTTAAAAATAACAAAAGTGTTAAAACACTTCTGCTGAGTTCATCACAGGCAAAACGGTATCTTTAACTTTGATGGGCTTCAACAAGAAGCATTCAACAAGTAATATCCAATCACTTTTTTTACTCTCTTTTTTTCACTCCTGCTATATATATATTACACGAGTAATGCTTAAAAATAAAGAATTAAGTAAAGTTTAATATCATTACAGAACCAAGAATTTAGAAGTCAAGCATATTCTTACATTTCAATTCTTTCTCTCAGAGACCAAAATATTGATCGTCTTTTTCTAAAGCTAGAAATTTAAAAAAAGGCAAAAAATAACACGCTATCTTCTGACAGAATTAAAAAATGTTAATTTAATTCCCTTCTCCTAAACTTTTTCATTTATATATGACTTATCTTCAAATGAAGACACCAGAAACCAGTATCTTACAGTATTCAATTATATTTTCCTTGCTATACATAGACTTATTAAAACAATATTGTTACTCACTTCAATTGTCTTGGCCAGTAACTGCGTGTGAGGAAAATTATACTTGTATACTTCATTAGCGACAGTGTTTATATCAACGGCAGCCACCACTTGTGCAGGTATACAGCTTTCTGTAATGATAAGTGGAATAACTTAAAAGGTAAAGTCCTTAACAACAATTTGTTCATCACAGAGAGAAGCCAAAAAAACAGAATTTTGTAGTACATTTCCTCACTTCCTCAATTATCTGGCCAGATCTCAGGTTGTCAGTGGACAACAAAGCCAGGAGGAGCTAGGCGCGAAGTAGAATATTTATGTGCCTCTGGTTCATCTCTCTCAACAGCATTCTCATGCTAAAAATAAGATTTAAATATTTTAGTCATTATCTCATATTTTCTTTCCTTCCTCCATTAAGATACACATTTATGAGTCGAATGGAAAGTTTTCCTAAATTAAAACAAACCAAAAACAGAAAAGTGAAGTACAGTAAGTCCCCTACATACCAACGAGTTCCGTTCTGAGAGCACATTCATAAGTCCAATTTGTTCGTAAGTCCAGCAAAGTTAGCCTAAGTACCCAACTAACACAATCGGCTACATAGTACTGTACTGTAATAGGTACTGTACTATAATACTTTTCACACAAATAATACATAACAAACAAACAAATGCAAAAACTAAAGAAAACATTTTTAATCTTACAGTTTCCATTATTGTCGCTTGGTGCTTCTTGGCAGTACCAGCTACATCACTGCTGCTTTTACACTTGCTTCAGGACATCCTCAGCTTGAAATAAAGATACTGTACTACTGTACTCTATACAGTACTGTACAGTAAAGTACACATAAGCAGAACCACTTGTAGAGGATGCACACATGTGACAATGTACGCCAGACACGTGAACTAACTTACGGGATTCGACATGAGAACACACGTTCACATCTTTGAAAGTTCGCAACTTGAAGGTTCGTATGTAGGGGACTTACTATATATTCTTAAAAGCCACATCACTAGGCTTCCCTGGTGGCGCAGTGGTTGAGAGTCCGCCTGCCGATGCAGGGGACACAGGCTCGTGCCCCGGTCCGGGAAGATCCCACGTGCCGCGGAGCGGCTGGGCCCGTGAGCCATGGCCGCTGAGCCTGCGCGTCCTGAACCTGTGCTCCGCAACGGGAGAGGCCACAACACTGAGAGGCCCGCGTACCGCAAAAAAAAAAAAAAAAAGCCACATCACTTGGAAATTTATAAATAAATTAACTAACATTTGTTCTTCAACTTCTAACATTAATACAATGCTGCTTCCCAATACCACTGAAAATGCTTTTAGGTAAGTTTTGCTAAGTTTCACGTAAATTTGTTTTGTTTTGTTTTCAAATAGCTTTATTGACATGCAACTCACATATCACAAAATTCACCTGTTGAAAGTTTAGGTAAGTTTTTAAAGGAGATGAAAAATTAATTGGTGTCCAAATCTAGAAAGCTCACAGACTAAAAATTAAAAATTTTGACAGAGAGAAGGTGAGAAGAGCAAGAGAAATAATTACAAGGGCATGTCTTCCTTCACTGCCCATCTGCCTTGCTGCTAAAGAAAGGTATTTTTTCATAATGCTTTCAGATTCAGAAAATTTTGTCACAGTCTTTAAATGGCAGTCAAAATTTCAACCATGTAAACGTAGCTGCTGTCACATTTGGCAATTATCACCCTCTTTGCACTTCTTCCCCAAACACATACAAACCAATTATGTGTAAACCCTGTCCCAAATCGGTAGAAAATGTGAAGAGTTTTTAAAATAAATGTATTTCAGAAATCTTAGGAAAATCATCAGAGAAAATGTTACAAAATTACATAGTAACTCCAAATAGCTATTTCTTTAATAACCATTTCTGTTCATAGTTAAATTAGGCAGCCCAAATATCAAAAAATGAAAAAGAAAAATATTAGGATGTGAGGAGCTAGGCTTCATGCAGCAGGCACCTGGAAATAAAACCCAGATCTCAGAAGATGGGGCAAGGAGGGAAGCTCACACACATTCAGGAAACAATCACAACCCTACACTGAGGCCTACAAAAGATAATGCCAGAGAGAAAACAGGGGATGAATGTGTCTAAGTAAATATTTACTTCATGTATACTACTAGCTAGGCTCAAGACCCTGGGCTAGGATCAGTTATCTTCTAGGTACCCTGCTGCCTTGTATGTAGGTCACTGGAACTTCAAGGTCCAGTTAGTAATATCATAGGCAGCTGCCTCTAAGTGAGTTTAAATTCAATAACTAGTTTACTTGCCTTTGTATGAAGTCAATTTAAGTTCTAAATTATATCTCTGTCAAAGGCATCAGAGAGATCTTGAAACATAAATCAAGGTTTTTAAACAAACTAAAAAAAATTAGTATACAAGGATCAATTTGCAAAATCACAAACCTTATAATCCAGGTCAAGAACTATACAACTACTAATCATTTTAAGAGAGCTCAGAATTAAATAACTTCACTGAACTATTCTACTGTTCTGCTAAATAAGATATGTTGTAATTAGCATGATGCTTGTCTTTCTGTTATATATACAGCAAGCTGGGATTGCCTGGAGTTAGTTGATGTGATTTTTCTCCTTTTTCAGGATGACTGAAAATCCACAGTGATGTGCCAAATCTCTACTATAACCAATAATTAATTTTATGTGCTTGTATTAAGTGCCTGGAAGACAGAAAAACTGATAAAACTCAACTGCCAAATGAGTGCTTTATGTGGTGATGAAAGAACTGATGAACCGAAAATTCTTTCTCAGGAAACAATAGATTTTTAAAGTCAATAAACAAGTGCACTGTTTGCACATATTTTAGACTGTTATAAAATAGGATCTACCGCATGACCTAAAAAGTTATTTCCATGACGAAAAATAAACATACTAAGCCCTTACTGACACGAATTCAACCTGCCTTTTCAAAACAGATTGTTTTGGGGTATGAGTGTGTAACCAAGGAAAAAGTTGAACTTATAAATAACACTCTTAAAATCAAGCCTTTCAATTCTATCAAAATCTTAAATTGAGCTCCAAAGACAAGTTGTTTTGGTATTTCTTACTGTACACTTTAAATCTATAGCCTCCAAAAATCTTTGTTAAGCTGTACACACAGATTTTGAAAATGTTTAACTAAAAATAACCAAAAAAATATAATTCAACAGATTTTTGCCTAAGTGAGCTCCATCACTTAACCTATCCAGGAGTAGTAATTCTCAAAGGGGAGAGAGAATTGGGGAAATGGGATCCACAGGATCTTCTGGGGAAGGAGAAGGAGAGGATGGGTTTTCAACACTTTGATCTATTGCTTTACCTGGATTTTATTCATGGTATTTCAGTTATTATTCTGGACTGCATATTTATCAACAAGAAGCATAGATACTAAGACATTCCAGTTAGAGAAATGCAACATTGGGGGCTTCCCTGGCGGTGCAGCGGTTGAGAATCTGCCTACCAATGCAGGGGGCACGGGTTCGAGCCGTGGTCTGGGAAGATCCCACATGCTGCGGAGCAACTAGGCCCGTGAGCCACAACTACTGAGCCTGCACGTCTGGAGCCTGTGCTCCGCAACAGGAGAGGCCGCGATAGTGAAAGGCCCACACACCGCAATGAAGAGTGGCCCCCACTTGCCGCAACTAGACGAAAGCCCTCGCACAGAAACGAAGACCCAACACAGTCAAAAATAAATAAATAAATAAATAAAAATTTAAAAAAGTAGAAAAAAGAAATGCAACATAAATGATTTTAAAGGATTGTCAGATTAGATCTACAAGGAAAGTTTAAGGGGTATCATACTCCCATTTATATGCGATCTAAACTAAAAACCAGCAGATTTAATTATGTCAAGAGAGACTTCTAGGTGAAATGCTAGAAATGTCATGGAAAATGAAGATTGGTTCAAGATGGCATAGTAGAAGAATGTGTGCTCATCCCCTCTTGCAAGAGCACTGGAATCACAACTAACAGCTGAGCAATCATCGACAGGAAGACACTGGAACTCACAAAAAAGATACCCCACATCCAAAGACAAAGGAGAAACTGCAGTGAGACGGTAGGAGGGGCGCAATCACGATAAAATAAAATTGCATAACCGCTGGGTGGACGACTTACAAACTGGAGAACAATTATACCACAGAAGTCCACCCACTGGAATGAAGGTTCTGAGCCCCACATCAGGCTTCCCAACCTGGGGGGTCCGGCAACGGGAGGAGCAATTCCCAGAGAATCAGACTTTGAAGGCTAGCGGGATTTGACTGCAGGACTTCAACAGGACTGGGGGAAACAGAGACTCCACTCTTGGAGGGCACACCCAAAGTAATGTGTGCATCAGGACACAGGGGGAAGAAGTAGTGACCCCATAGGAAACTAAACCAGACGTACCTGCTAGTGTTGGAGGGTCTCCTGCAGAGGCAGGGGTGCCTGTGGCTCACCGTGGGGACAAGTACTACTCTGGGAAGTACTCCTTGGTGTGAGCCCCCCCAGAGTCCACCATTTGCCCCACCAAAGAGCCAGGTAGGCTCCAGTGCTGGGCCGCCTCAGGCCAAACAACCAACAGGTAGGGAACCCAGCCCCACCCAGCCCCACCCATCAACAGACAAGCTATTAAAGTTTTACTGAGCTCTGCCCACCAGAGCAACACCCAGCTCTACCCACCACCAGTCCCTCCCATCAGGAAGCTTTCAAAAGCCTCTTAGATAGCCTCATCCACCAGAAGGCAGAGAGCAGAAGCAAGAAGAACTACAATTCTTCAGCCTGTGGAATGAAAACCACAGTCACAGAAAGATAGACAAAATGAAAAGGCACAGGGCTATGTACCAGATGAATGAACAAGATAAAACCCCAGAAAAACAACTAAATGAAGTGGAGATAGGCAGCCTTCCAGAAAAAGAATTGAGAATAATGATAGTGACGATGATCCAGGACCTCAGAAAAAGAATAGAGGTAAAGATTGAGAAGATGCAAGAAATGTTTAACAAAGACCTAGAAGAATTAAAGAACAAACAAACAGAGATGAACAATACAATAACTGAAATGAAAAATACACTAGAAGGGATCAATAGCAGAATAATTGAGGCAGGGACCTCCCTGATGGCACAGTGGTTAAGAATCCACCTGCCA